TTGGGTCAGCTACACTCAACTCTTAGGTAGCCCTAATAAATTCATCTTACCCAGAGTGAACTCTGATGAAATCAAACTTCGGTTTGTTGCTGGAATAGGTATCACTTAGCAGTCACCCCAGTACATAGCTTAGCTGGATGTTTCCAGAATGGAAGAGAAGACTAGAAAGCTTATACAAGTTATGAAACTCTGAGAAGTTATTTAAGGTACATAAGGAAGAGACTGAGATGATGGTATACTATGGATGGTATCAAAGTTTCTAAGGTCAAAGATCAACACTCATAAGAACTCTCTAAAATGTCTAAGAAGTTTAGTGTCTGGTTTTAGTAGCAGACTGGCACAACTGACCTTCTGGATGTTCAACAATCCTCTTTGGAGGTCTATACTAATGTGGTCAGATGGATGAAAAGGGAGTTTTCACCCTTGCTCTCCAAAGTCAGTTAGGTCCCAGGGCACTGTGGAGCATCCCTTGAAATATTCTGTAATCATATGGAGTCTCCTATTGTTGCGTTCAGGGAGACCTCACGTGGTGATTTTTTTTTTTTTTTTTGGTTTTTGGAGACTGTGGTTTTGGACCTGTCCTGGAACTAGCTCTGTAGACCAGGCTGGTCTCGAACTTACAGAGATCCCCCTACCTCTGCCTCCCGAGTGCTGGGATTAAAGGCGTGTGCCACCACCGCCCGGCTCATGTGGTGAATTCTAATCAATGTCCAGCCTACAAAAAGAGAGGGCCAACAACAGGAAAATCTACACTCTTCTTTATGCAACAACTGGAAACAGTTGTCGACCAATACTTTTGACTTTTTCTCAGAGATGGACAGCCTGGTAAAAGACTGAAGGAGCCAGAAGTTCCTGAGGCTCAAATAATTCCAAGGACTACATTTTCAACTGGCCTTGACAGTAAAAAGCTATGAACGGAAATCTAACTTGGGACCTCGGGTGTAGCAGTCGGTGCTCTTAACCTCTAAGCCACCTGTCCATCTGAACTGACTCCTCTTAAAAGCGTCTAGATAGTCACACTCTCTCCTTGAGACAGGGCCTATGTAGTATGGAACTCGCTCTGTAGACCAGGCTGTCCTCAAACTCACAGAGATCCACCTGCCTCTGCCTCCCAAGTGCTTGGATTAATTAAAGGCACACACCATTGCTGCCCAACAAGAATTAGTTTTTGTAGTGTGGAGTGTGGGGGCTGACTTTACCAAACCAAGAAACTGTTCTGTTTTGTAAGCTGCTGGGTGGGCAATAAGTCAGATTGGCTGGTTTTAGACTCTAGACTCCAGAGTGTATGATGGGGATTGGTTGGCTACTTTCTGGAATTCCATGGGCAATGGAATTTTGAACCCTTGGGCTGGTTTTATAGACCTGGTTTTTGGGTAAGGGGCTTCCTTTATATATAAAGGATATAGGGTATTGTTTTCTGTCTGGCTACTTCCTGCTGGCAAGGAATATTGTTCAAAGTTTTGGGGTCTGAAGTAACTCTAAGAGGAACACTGTTGCTGTTTTTGAAACAAGGTCTCTATGAGCCCTAGCTATCCTATGTATCACTATGCAGACCAGGCTGTCTTTGAACTCACAAAAAATCTGCCTGCCTCCGCCTCTCAAATGCTGGAATTAAAAGTGTGCACCACACGAGGAAAGGAGTATTGTTGTGTGGTGGATCAAGTGATGACAGTGATTTGATTCATAAGGAACTGTCAATAGTTTAAAAGCATACACCAGAGTTGGGCAGTGGTGGCGCACATCTTTAATACCAACAACTGGAAGGCAGAGGCAGGTGGATTTCTGAGTTTGAGGTCAACCTGGTCTATAGAGTGAGTTCCAGGACAGGCTCCAAAGCTACAGGGAACATCTGGTGCCAGGAATGGTGGCACACACCTTTAATGAAGCAGAGGCAGGCAGATTTCTCTGAGTTCAAGACCAGCCTGGTCTGCAGAGTTAAGTTCCAGGACAGCCACGCCAGGACTACAAAGAGAATCTGTCTTGTGGGAAACAACAAAACCTGATTCTCAGATCCTACTCCTTCACTCTAAGGTTTGGGGGTACCAATCTCTTGACCAATAAAGCCCACTCTTGTTTTGAGGCTGACTATTCTTTCAGTTTCCTCTATTGACTTATTTCTTACTTCATTTCTCAGTCTTTTTGGCTAAGATCAAGTGTAAAAAGTTAATACACGGCAGGCTACCAAGATGACTCAGTAGCTAAACACACTTGCCACCAAGCCTGACAAAATCCAATCCCCAGGACCCACACTGTAGGAGACAATGAATTCCTTTAATTGTTTCTAACCTTTGAGTATGAACGAACACACACACACACACACACACACACACACACACACACACACACACAAAATGTAAATAAGTACATTTTAAGAAACTATTAGGAATCTACTCATAATCATAGTTCAGATTCTACAAAGGGCATGTTTAGGACAGCCTCTATTACATTTCTTGCATATCAGAAATACTAGCTCCAGAATGAAAGCCTAACTGTTTAGCACTTAAGGAAGTGGCTATCTTAAAGTTCTATGATTCTGCTCCCATTTCAAGATCACCTCTTTCTAGAAAGCCACAAAGGAAGCATACCCAAGTTAGCTTTTATAACCCAGCATGTTGTAGCCTTCTCTTAGAAGAACCTTTAAATCTTCTTAAGTTAACCAATGTCCTTGTTTTACAGACAGAAACTAAAGGCCAGGAAGTAAAAGGAGTTTTGCTTCAGGAAGCTCAATTAATGAAAGACTTCCTTTAACTTGCTATGACTGACTGCTTCACTTCTTTTCTTAACAATCTATTTGATGGGCACATCAAAAAGCAGATCTATTAAGGAGAAAGAAATAAAGAAAGAAAGAAAGAAAGAAAGAAAGAAAGAAAGAAAGAAAGAAAGGAAGGAAGGAAGGAAGGAAGGAAGAAAGAAAGAAACGTAAAGACCCGTCTAGAATTTTTCAAAGGCATAATGACAATTTCCTTCACACCACAGGCATCTATGGGTGTCAGACAGGGCTGTGCCTGGGAAGCAGGCAAGGGCACTGCTGCTCACATCCAGTCCTATTTCCTGATGGGCTCGTCAGCGCCCAAGGGCAAGTGGTAGTGGAAAGTTCTTATTTTTGCCAAGGGAGTGCTCTGCAACTTTTTTTCCTTTGCATATTTTTTTTCTGTTTCTTTGGGTTGGGGCAGGAAGAATCTGTTATTAACCACCTTCTCTTTGCCTAACACCTGACACTGTTCACATGTAGTTCTGGGCGTCTTCAGTTCTTAGCTCTTTCTTTCCCACCACAATACTGATTTTCACTCTGAACAGAAATACAATTTAAAAGTTAGGCTACCAAAAATACATTTTATGAGTGAGCTAAAAAAAAAATTATTACTTGCCATATCTTACAACTAAATGCAAGTTTTACCTTATAAGGGATATTTAAGTTATGATACTTAAAACACCTTTTTCTATTTAAGTTAAATATAAATACTAATATATGCAAGAGAAAAGTTTTTTTAAATATGTATGCATGTGAGTGAATTAAAAAAATTATTTTTATTTTCCCCAGGCGTGGTGGTGCAGGCCTGTAATCCCAGCACTCAAGAGCTGTGACAGGTAGATCTGAATTTGAGGACAGCTTGGCCTGTAAAGTGAGTTCCAGGATAACCGTAGTCAGAGATACACAGAGAAACCCTGTCTCAAAATTTTTTTTTACTTTAATTACATTTTTGTTTAGTTTTGTTCCATGCCACAGTCCTTGAATGAAGGTCAGAGGACAACTTGCAGAAATCAGTTCTCTCCTTCTACCATGCCCCAGGGATCCAACTAGGTCGCCAGGCTTGGCAGCAAGGAACCTTTACCAAAAGAGCTAACTCAAGCACTAAGCCTTTGTTTATGTTCATTTAAAGAAAATTAACTTTAACAAGTCTTTTCAGAGAAAGAAAAATAAGATCAGAAACTGTCTCCATATTATTGTTTGAGTTTAAATGTATCTGTTAAATTTTGTGGTTATGAAGTCTGAATGGAATTCTTTACTTGAAAGCCCTATCTGCTTTAATTAAAACTATTCTAGACCTCAGGGTGAGCAGGGAAGAAACATTACAAAGTACTGAAGCATTATATATTTGTTCCCACTATGACTTTTGGGGAGTTTCTTTTCTTTCTTTTCTTTTTTTTTTTCTGTGGTTTTTCTAGACAGGGTTTCTCTGTAGCTTTGGATCCTGTCCTGGAATTGTAGGGGTCTCTCCTTTCACAATGTGGTCCTAGGAACTGAACCTAGACCTGTCAGAGTTGGCAGCAAAGTCTTTTATCTGCTGAGTCATCTTTCCTACCCAAGAAGGCTTTTTTTTACACCAGGCACTGTTGCAAGGACTCTACAGGTCACCCTCTCTAACTCTTCACAAGGAACAAGCTATTATCTTCACTCCCTGTTTATAAATGAGGTGCTTTTCAAGGTCATAGTACTTCACAGCCATAAAGAGACTGAGCCAGTCTCCATTTTTCTGCCCCTTAATGTCAGTGTTTTTAGTTTTTCTATGATGTTACAGAGTAAAATACATCTATAAATACCTTTAACTTCTGGAAGGCAAAATCATGGAAACAGGGATTATCGTTTTACTCTCATTTATATCCCTGCCATTTTCCTCAAATCACAATTTTCTAAATGTTCCAGCACAAACAAAGCTAACACTGTATTTTACAAAAGTCACAGTATCGTAAGAAAAGTGAACCCCTTCCAGTGGTCTCTCTCGTCTCTTAATCTCAGTGACAAGAATGGGAAGACTGACGCTGTGACTACACTGAGTCATGCAATGGGGAGGAGTGTTACAGGAAATCAGGAAACGCCAGCCCTACGTAACCAGGTCAAGCTTCAAGATCAACTGGTCTGTCATGGTCTGAAGGTGGGGGAGACCTCCCAGAGTACTCACCTCTCAGTGTCTTATGAGTAATCCTCAGAGTGCTAACGGGTCCTGCTATCAAAACCCTGCTTAACTCATTGTTACATCTACACTCAATGTGAAGAAATATTTCGCTCTTTTAATTTATTTTATTTATTTTTGTGTGTACAGGTGTTTTTGTCTACATGTACACATGTATGTGAACCTCATGTGTGCCTGTTGTCTGCAGAGGCCAAGAGGATGTCAGATCCCCTGGAACTGGTGGGTAGGTGGATTTGTGAATTTGAAGCTAGCCTGGTCTACAAAATCAGTTCAAGGACAGCCAGGGTTGTTACAGAAAAACTATATCAGGAACAAACAAACAAAAAATCATTTTAATTAATAAGGCAATGATAAAGTCCATAGTGGCACCTAGGACCTAAGAGGTGAAGGCGGAGGGTCAGGAGAGTTAAACGCCAACTGGGTTACATAAAACCTTGTTTAAGGAGCTGGAGAGACAGCTCAGAGGTTAGGAGTACAGTGACTGCTCTTTCCAGAGGACCCATGTTAATTCCCAGCACATACACGGCAGCTAACAACTATCTGTAACTCCAAGATCTTACAACCTCACATAGACATACATGCAGGCAAAACACCAATGCAAATAAAAATAAATCATTTAAGCTGGGTGGTGGTATTGCATGCCTTTACCCCAGCACCTAAAAAGGGCAGAGGCAAGAGAATCTCTGTGAGTTTGAGGCCAGCCTGGTCTAACACAGCACACTGCAGTCCAGCCAGGGATACATAGTGAGACTCTAGTATCCAAAGCAAATAAACAAAATAATTCAGAATCAAACAGGAAAAAGAAAAGGGGAAATGGAGAGATAGGTTAGCCAGTGGAACATGCACCATATTGGCATGAAGACATGAGTTAAGAACCCACTAAAAAAACCAGGCAGCTAGTTGGGCAGTGGTGGCACACTCCTTTAATCCCAGCACTCAGGAGGCAGAGGTAGGCAGATCTCTGTGAATTCAAGGCCAGCCTGGTCTACAGAGCGAGTTCCAGGATAGGCTTCAAAGCTAGGGAAACCCAGTCTTCAAAAACCAAACCAAATAAACAACAGGCAGCTACTTAGAAGCTATACTCAATCACTACAGCTAACTGTAGTGCACACAGCAGTAGTGTTCTACAGTTGATAACTACAAACCTCAAACACATTGGCCAAAACACAAGATCCTTTTAGGAGGCCGAGGCAGGAAGATCACTTCAATCTGGGAATTAGAGCCCAGATTCAGAAACATAGTGAAACTCCATCAAAAAACAAACCTCAAAATAAACCTTACTGACAACACAAAGGGACACTACAATTCCAAACATGCACTGAAATGGTATAATAACTAATAGATAATTAGTTTTAATTATAATTATGAGAAAAAAAAAACTAGGGCTGGAGAGATGGCTCAGTGGTTAATGGTTAAGAGTACTAGCTGATCTTCAAGAGGATCTGGGTTCATTTCCCAGCACTCACATATAGGCTTACTCTAGTTCCAAGAAATGTCATTCCCTCTTGGACTCTGTAGGCACCAGGCACACGTGCAAATATATGAACATGTATAGGCAAATCACCCACATGCATAAAATTTAAAAAGAGCAAACAAAAAACTTTAAACATAAAAAGCTAAATATAATTCTGAACCTAGAGAAAAGGACCTCCCTTAGAAATAAAATCTAGGAAAAAAGAAAATAAACAAAAACAAAAATCTCAACTCACCAGCAATTTCCACAATATCCCCGGGAACGATGTCTTTAGCTTTAATTCGCTGCACACTCTTCCTGTCCTGTCGGTACACTTTTCCCATTTCAGGCTCGTACTCCTTAAGGGCTTCTATTGCATTTTCAGCATTCCTTTCCTGGATGAAGGAAAACCAAGCATCATAAACCACCCTGCCTGCCTCCTTAACTATTTCTAGACTAGAAATTAAAACTTCAGTTTCAGTCAAGGCTATGTAAGAGGACTCTGTCTTAAAAAAAAAAAAAAAACAGACTGATATTTAAAAATCACATAAAACTACTGAAATGTTAACTGCTGCAGGAATTTTTCTGCTTACCTGCCATACACCCACAATTGCATTGGCTACTAATATAAGCAGAATTACAAAAGGTTCTACAAAGGCTGTAATCGTTTCTTCACCTTCTTCAAACCAAGCCAAAACCTACAAGAAAAATGGCACATGTCAGACTTCCTAATGTACTTTTAAATTTACCTACATTTTATAACAAAAGGGGCTCACATTACAAAAACCTTTTTTTACATCTCCAGAAACAGACAAAATATAGTTACAGAAACAACTGTCTTATATTCTGTTCTTTCTCTTCTTTTCTTTTCTTTTCCTTCTTTCAGGTTTTTCGAGACAGGGTTTCTCTGAGTAACAGCTCTGGCTGTCTTGGAACTCACCACTTTGTAGACCAGGCTCGCCTCAAACTCAGAGATCTGAGGGCTGGGATTGAAGGTGTGTGCCAGTCACCACCACCCGGCTAAACTACTTTATTTCTAATGCCACCCCAAGCTCAAATAGAGTGGGTTTTTTGTTTGTTTTTTGGTAGAAAAAAGTAGTCTCATTCAATTTGTATGTATATATGTCAGATAATAAAAAAAATTCCTGATTTTATTATAGTAAAGATGAACAGGTAAACATGAATGGTCACATTGATGTTCACATCAGGTCTGGAGATATGACTCAGGTTTAAGACACTGGTTGGTAGTCCAGAGGACCAGGTTCCATCCAACACCCACATCTCTAACTCCAGTAGCAGTTGAAATTGATGCCCCTTTTTCCAGCGTCCAGGGCCCTAAACACATGTGATATCCAGACACACATGCAGGCAGACCACCCTTACACACCAAATAATTTCTTAAAAATTCACATCATGTCTTCCTGTCCCCTCTCTGGGAGAGGCAGCTTCTGCCCCTCTCTCCGCGCTCCCCCCCCCCCCGCCCCTTTCTCTCTCTTTCCCCTCTTCTCCCCTTTTTCCTTCCCCTCCATAACCCACCTAATAAATATCTAACTTTAAAAAAAAATTCACATCACGTCTTAGACATACATGGCCTGAATTTACAGCTTACAAAACTGAAAACAAGAAACAAAAAGAAAAACCAAAAAACAAACAAAACAAAACACCAAGAAACAACAAACAAAAAAAATATTTGGAGGTAAAAAAATTGACCATTCACTCAAATTCAAGGCAGACCAAGTTAATCTCCCTGACTTCTCAGAGGTAGTGGAGTCACCTCAGAATTCCACCACACAGCACTTAGTACGGAAACATAGCACTTCAAAAATCACAAAATTCCCCTCCAGACAAATGAAATAAAGTGGGCCAGGGAGATGCCATATACGGTAAAAGTGGCTGCTGCCAAGCCTGATAATCTAAATTCAATCACAGGCTAAGGAAAGAAATACACTCAAAAGGCACACGCATGGATACACACCCCACAGACACACATTACATCAAAATGTAACCACAAAAACAAATCAAAAACCTCACCTAATCTATGCTAGGAGGGTAAGGCAGGATGACTGCCAGTTTGAGACAACATGGCCCTGACTCCAATCAACTACAAGTTAATAGCCAAGGTACTATGAAGGTGATAAAAAGATGCAGTGAGTTAATAAAAGAACATCAAAAGCAGTGGCTCTCATCTTCCTAATGCTGTGACCCCTAATATAGTTCTCATGTTGTGGTGATCCCCAACCATAAATTTATTTGTTTCTACTTCATAACTGTAATTTTGCTACTGTTATGAGTTGTAATGTAAATATCTGTGTTTTTTTTTTTTTTTATGGTTCTAGGCAATGTGACCCTGTGAAAGGGTCATTCACCCTGAAAGGGGTTGAGAACTGATGATCTAAGTAGTTAGACGTTAACCAGAAGGACAAGTGAGATGGGCAAGTGGGAAAAAGCTCTTGCTGGGCAAGCCTGCTGATCTGAGTACAATTCTGGAACTCATAGTGTAAGGACCTGACAACTAACTCCTGAAAGTTGTCCTCTGACCTCCATGCAAGGTCCAAGTCACATATGCACACAAGCTCGCTCCCACTATCCAGGGCCAGGTCCTGACAAAAGTCAGTGGCAATTTTACCAGAAACCTGCCCCACCTCAATGATTGGATCCGGGAGGTGGGCTTTGCTTCGTGTGTGGGTGGGTGTGTTTTGCGATGTTGCTTAAAATGAACACATTTCACAATGAAGACCCTTACTTTAAAAGATTATCTAGGAGTAAGCAAGATGGCTTATCATGTAAAGACACTTACCCTACAAGCCTGACAACCTGAATTCAATCCCTGGAACCCATATAAAAGCTCTAGGAGAGAACCAACCCAAAAAGTTATCTGATCTCTGTGTGTGTGTGTGTGTGTGTGTGTGTGCGCGCGCGCGCGAGCTAGCTTCCAGGAAGCAGAGGCAGGTGATCCTTTTGAGTTAGCCTGGTCTACATGATGAGTTCCGCAACAGCTAGAGCTACATAATAGAGACCCTGTCTCAAAACAAACATAAATACGTGTGTACACACATACACAAACAATTTTATAAGTAAAATTAATATAGTTAAAAATAATAAACCCACACGAGATTCTTTTTGGTTTGTTTTTTTAAACAGTCAATGACCAGAAGATAATTAGGCAATATGAAACTCTAAAAGAAGATTAACACTGAATTAGCAAAGAATCAGATCAAAGAAAAACCAAACAGAAAGTGCCCAGGTTCTGACGCACGCCAATTAACACTGACAAGCAGGGCAGGAGAAAACCAGACTAACTGTGATAAACACGACAGCAGGCTTTCCACAGGGCATTCCTAGTACTAAGGCCAGGATCTCAGCCAGAATGAAAAAACTTCTCTACGAAGTTAAATTTTGATAGATGCAGGATTGCAACTGCTGATACAGCCTTCCAAACACTTAGCAAGGAGAACATATCAGAAATAAGAAATTTAATTAGCCCTTAAAGAAGAAAAATTGCTCAACTTCACAAGTGACCAGAGACCTTTTCAAAAGGTCAGTGAGGCATTAGCAACTCTAAGATAAGCTTCACACCTTGTTTAAGTGGGTATGAATTTCCTTCTTGGCAGTCAAGCCTGGGACAACTTAGGGCAACATCCCTCAACAGATGGAGTGAAGGGAAGGGTGAGCAGTGTTAGAATTACTAGAGTAAAAACACATCTCTACTAGTCAAGAGATACACATTGTTCTCATGACTAATATTTATCAAATGTAAGAATTTTTATTTGACCAGTATACTAAGCTTGCCTTCCATGAGACCCGTTGGATAGAAAACACAGGCTACCAACACTTGAAAGTTCTACAGATGCACTAATTACTATGGAATGAGCAACTAGTGGGCAAATTTACTAAGATGGAGAATGGCATCCAAACCTATCTAAAATTTAGGAACCACCCAGTTAGGGCTGGAAGATAGTTCAGTGGCTACAACCCTTGCTTAGCATATGCCAGCCAGACCCTGGGCTCATTCCTCAGTACATGGAGCAAGGGGAAATTCCAGTTTTTTGAGTTTAAAAAAAAAAAAAAAAAGAGACAGTTCTTAGTAGGCTAAGAGCCAACTGCTGCTCTTCTAGGACTGGAGTTCAGTTCCCAGCAGCCATATTTGACAGCTTACAATTGCCTATAACTCCAGTTTCAGGGGGTCAGACACCCCTTTCTTGCCTCTAGTGGTACCCACACACATGTGGCATACAGTCACACAAACATGCCCATATATACACATAAAATAATCTAAAAAGTTTTAAAATAAAGATAAAATCTACCTCAAAACAATAAATAACCCAAAGACTCAAATCCTATACCTCAAATTGAAGAATCACATTAACTGATAAAAACCAATCTGCTCAGATTGTGTTTTATGGTTCTTCACAGTTTGTTCTATTGGTAAGAAATCCTATTAGGTTATACAAATGGGAACACTGCTGACAAATGACTGACGGTAAGAAGGTCCAAGAAGAAACTGGACAGATACTGTCTCAGAGTACATGGTCAATTTAGTTACTAATTATAGCTTTTCCTAACTTACACAAAATCTATCTATTCAAAAGGAGAAATATGTCTGTAAAAACAATCTTGACCAACTAGGTTGATCATAAAGGTCCTCTTTGTATTGCCTTTGTTTACAGCTGCATCCCTAGGGGCTCAGAAAGGGCTCTGGTACACGGATGGCACTCAGTATTTACTACTGGACAAGCAGAGGAAGAAAGAAACAAGTGGCTCAAATAAAGCCAAGTGAGAATCAAGGAGTAAAAGTTCTACAAGGAAGTACAGCATTCCATCGGAACTGGAGGAAAAGGAGGAAAGGTTAGCTGCAATGTGATTTCAGGCAAAGCGTTTCTTCTTCCCTCTGAACTCTGTACTGTTACAATAGCAGCACCCTTCCACTACAATTACAATTATTCAAAGCTTCAAATTTGCCAACCCTGTTCCAAGTCACCATTCACTGCATTTTAAGGTGAAGTAGTATAGGACAGGGATCTTTCTATTGATAGTCACAGAATTAATCTCTGGATTAGGACAGAACTAAGAGGTAGAGCACTTACCTAAAAAGGTATAAAGCTCTGGGATTTGATCCAAATGCACAAGAAACGGCATTACAGCACTACTAATACCCTTAAAGAAATTTAAAAAAAATTTTTTCTGGGGGCTGGAGAGATGGCTCAGAGGTTAAGAGCATTGTCTGCTCTTCCAAAGGTCCTGAGTTCAATTCCCAGCAACCACATGGTGGCTCACAACCATCTGTCATGGGGTCTGGTGCCCTCTTCTGGCCTGCAGGCATACACACAGACAGAATATTGCATACATAATAAATAAATACTTTTAAAAAAAATTTTTCTGTATGTGCCTGAGTATGTATATTCAAATCATGCATGTTAGTGCCCACAGAATCCAGCAAAGGGTGTTGGAGCCCCCAGAATGGGAGTTACAGATCTCTTGAGCCTCCTGATAGAGGAGGTGCTGAGAACCAAACCCAGGTCTTCTGCAAGTGTACCAAGTAAACCATCGAGCCATCTCTTCAGTCTTCTTACTTTCCTGCTTTTCCTGGGTCTTACTCTGGCCAGGTTGATCTCCAACTTGTAGCAGTTTTCCTGCCTTAAGTCTTCTCCTGGCTGGTATTACAGGCGTATACCCAACACTTAATCTGGCACTATTAACTTCTAATAGGAATAACGAGTAAAGCAAAATTTGCTTAGGCAAAAAGGCATGTTTTGATATACACTGGAAGGGAGGGTTGTCATATTATGGCATTGGGATTGTGGGCTGAGCTCTTGCTTGCTCGCTCCCCACCCCTGGAGTTTCACTATGTATCCTTGGCTAGCTGGCCTGGTGTTCCCTACATACAGACCAGGTTGGCCGTGAACTCACAGAGATCCATCTACCTCTGCCTCCTGAGTGTTGGGATTAAAGTTGTGTGCCACTATACCCAGAGGATTGAACTCTCAAGACCACTCAGAAAGCAAGGAAGTATAGAGGGAGAGTAACTGCATAGCATGTGAAGGGTCCAGATTCAATGCCAGCACCATCTGCCTAAAAGTGGTTAAAAAAAAGAAAAAAAAAAAAGTCAAAATTCAAGAGGCAGAGGCAAGAGGATCTGAGTTCAAGGCCAGTCTGGTCTACAACTCCTACAACTCAAGCTCCAGGGCAGCTAGGGCTGTGACAGAGAAAATTGTCCTGAAAAAAACAAAAGAAAAAGACGAAAAAACATCATAAGTGCTATTTTCATCTTCCTTTTATCTTCAGAAACTTACACTGTGCCTTTGGACATTTAAACACTAGATCAATAAACAAAATTTATATTAAGAAATTCTGGAAAAAAAGGAAAACAAGCACTCATCAAAAACAACCCAAGATTATCAGTAAGTGATATGCTAAATATCTTGGGTGGCAAACAAAAATTCCTTCATTCAGAAAAGCAAACCTAATATGCATGAGAATTCATTCTCTCCAGTAAAAGGTGGCGGTGGCAGCAGCAGGCAGCAGCGGCACACACCTTTAATCGCAGCAATCAAGAGGTAGAGGCAGGATGAATTGAGGTCAGACTGGTCTATAGAGTGAGTTACAGGACAGCCAGGAATGTTACACAGAGAAATCCTGTCTTGAAACACCAAAAACCAAACCAAAACTTTCAAAAAAAAAAAAAAGAAAGAAAAGAAAAAAACCCTTATACCAGAAGTAGGAATGGCAATACTATGCATCTGTAATTACAGGACACATGAGGCCGAGGCAAGAAATTTAATAAGAGTTCAAGGGCAGTCTTGGCCATATAATAACACAACGCCTTAAAAAACAAATCTTTAATCTTAGCTCTCGAAGGTAGAAGCAGGTAGCTCAAGTCCACAACAGTAGGTCCAGGCTAGTCAAGGCTAAACAGTGAGATTGTCTCCCCCATAAACAAGCAAACAAACAAAACCAACCACCACACACATATACACACACACACACAAAATAATAACAACGACAACAACAAAAACACAGTATGACTGAAGATAAAAATCAGTAGCAGAACACTTCCCTAGTGTGCTCAAGGCCCTGGATTCTATTCCCACAGTAGGGAAAGGAGATAAAGACAATTAATATTTCCCCTTCAAATCAACTTTAAAATTGTTCTTAAGAAATAAATCAAACAAAAAATTTAGAACACCATAAAATGCACTATTAAATGCCTCTTAATCATTGAAACAAGCAAAGCAAAAGCAAATCACATGTTTTATCAGTGTCTCAAAATGCTAGAAACTTAGTCCAATATTGAGACACTGAAAAGGAATAGGGGCCCAGCATGGTGGCAAGAAGATCTTAATGAGTTCAATGGTCTGCATAATCCTGGTCTCCAGGATAACCGAGACTATAAGGAGACCCTGTCTCAAAAACAAAACAAAAACAAATACACACACACACACACACACACACAAAACAACAAAATAGTATTTTAGTGTAAAACAGGAAACGGGGCAAAGAGTAAAGACCTATGCTGATTTCCATCTCAGTACCACCCATGATCTGGAGAGATCAGCTAATGCCATTAAAGCCCTAAATATACTCACCTCTCCTTCAGCTCTTTACTCAAAAGGTTACTTTGTGAGGTTCCCCTTTAAAAAGCCTGTGCTCCTCTTCCCTATGGACAACCCCCTTATCTCAGCCCCTTTACTTTCTCAACAGCACTATTCAAGTTAACAGGTACCATATTCCCTATTATAGCCTTTGTGTTTATGTCAAGTGCTCACTTGGGAGAGGGGAAGAGTGGGTAGGCATTTCAGTTAGGCAACCAAATGATGCAGGATACTTAGGGTAAAGTTAGTAACCTAACAGAATGGGAACAACCCAAATAAAAAACAGTAAATGATGTCATATTAAAGAAATTTGATGTCCACATGCAAAGGGAGATGCATTTTGCTAAGACAGTCTTACATATCTCAGGCTAGCCTTATCAAACTCACTGTAGAGCCAAGGATGGCCTGGATTCCTAACCTCAGCTACCAAATACTAAGATTACAAGCATGCACATTTGATCTTTTTAAAAGAAACAACCCTGGGAAACACTACAGATTAAACTGTCCCTATGAGCCAGTGTAAAACATTAATGCAGCTTCCTATTTTCTGCCAGAGAAAACATTAACTGTAGTTAACATTTTACTAGTCTAATATTTGAAATAAATTACTAGTATCTTTCTAACCCAAAGAGAAATATGATGATTTGTGACAACTGCCTATTCACTTCTGCAGAAGAATGAATATTCAAAGACCCATGTTTTTCCTGTTAAGCCAGTAAGAATATACTGACTACCAAAATAAGTCAGTGCTGTTATTTGGAAACTATGAAAATAAATAAAAGCTGAAGTTCGTGTCACAAGCTTATAACCCTGGAACCTAAGAGGCTAAGTAAGACAAGAGGATCTCATAAGACTGGGCTATTCAGAGTGAGTTTGAGACAGTCTAAGATATAGTAAGACCTGTCTCAAAAAACAAAAACAAACACATACAAAACCAAAACAGGACCTGAAAGATGGCTGAGCAGGCCTTTAGGCATTCACATAAAGGCCAGAAAGTGGTAACAGCATGCCTATATTTTATTTATTGGGTTTTTTTTTTTTTTTTTTTTTTGAGACAGGGTTTCTCTGTAGCTTTGGAACTAGCTCTTGTAGACCAGGTTGGCCTCAAACTCACGGAGATCTGCCTGCCTCTGCCTCCCGAGTGCTGGGATTAAGGGCGTGTGCCACCGCTGCCCCTAGCTTGCCTGTATTTGCAACACTTGGGAGGCTAGGGCAAGCTGGCTAGCTAAACTAGCTGAATCAGTGAGCTCTGGGTTTAATCCAGAAACCCTGCCTCAGTATGTAAGATGGAAAGTCATTAAGCAAGAACCCCAATGGCCACTGCACACACATTCACACAAGTACACCCACATACCTCAACAAGCACACATATACCTACACTGTACACACATACATAAGCAGTAACAGAAATAAAGAGAAGGAAAGAACAGATCAAGGAGCACATAGCACCATCAACAAACCAAAATTTCTTTTCCATTTTTATAGCTTTTGAGAAAGGGTCCAGGCTGTCTTGATGCCTCAGTTTCCTTTTGAAAGAAGGCAACCTTGCAGATCATTTTAAAGGTGTGAACACACACTTAAGCATGGCCACTAACAGTAAGTAACATTCTAGAGTGGGTGCAGACTTAGAACAGCCTCTGAAGACTATCGCAATCCATCCAAAATCTTGACAAATAAACCAAAGCAAACTGAGTGAACTCTAAAAAGCACTTCCTGCACACTTATTCTCTCGTTATTTAACACCTTAACATAAAATATAACAGTTCATTTCCTGAACAAGAATTCCAAATAGTTATTAAAAGTGAATTCACATTTCAACTACAAACACTAATAAGCAACATCCTCTATTACAAAAAAGTTTAGTACTTAAAATTTGAAAATGTTTACAAATAAATTCCTGATTATTACATCATAAAATACATGTACAATCACTGATCTTACTTTCTAAAATACCAAACTGATATGATTTTGAAACCCTGAGATCCAATAGCCAGTAACTTGTTCACTGAAAAGGGGCACCATTTCCGAGATTTCTTCAAAAACACAGAAGGAACCAGCAGGAATGTATTTTGCCTACAGCTAGTACACATCAGTTAGTTAATTCCTAAGTCCCTGATGACCTTAATGAAGGCCAGCATTTAACAGCCACAGCAAAGACTCAGAATCATGTAGCCTGCATTAATACAAACCCTGATCAACTCCCCAAATGTGTAATTTATTTTACCTCATGTCAACATGCTCAAACTATAATCAAACAACTCTATTCATTTATCTTGTTTACCAATGATGCAACCATTTACAGGGCAAAATTTTTAAAAACTAATCACAAGATATATAAGTTTTATAGAGTGAATGACTCAGTAGTATGCTGTGGTTTGCTATTGGTGTCTAAATTTTATTCAATGAAAACCACAGGTGAGATTCTTGAGAACTGAACTAGCAATGGCCACACAACACTTAACAAACATGGTATACTAAAGTTTCACAGCAAAATCCATGTGTACAACTGCTCCTAAAGGCCAACTCTGCCACCAAAATTTATTTTAAAAATAGCTTAAAAAAAAAAAAAAAAACCCTTTCCTTCCCCTGAACTCTGTGAGTTCCCTAAACAATCCTCTATGCTAGTGTTCTCATAGAGGTCATTACCACATGACCCCTAGGTCAGATTCACATGTGAAAATACATAGTTCAAACCTCACAGGTGTCAGCTTTTTGAGACCTGAAACAAGTATTATAAGATTCTCACTTCCTATTACAGTATAAGAATACAAGGTTGGAAGAACAAAAAGTAGTGTGCGCTATGATGGCTAATTAAGACCACTGGGCACCACTACCACTATTTTAAGAAACTGTAAAGAAATCCACTGGCCAGAAAAAAATGATAATAACCTAGAAATAACCTTGCCGCTTCTTATTTTTTCTTAAGACGGGTCTCTGCATTTCACTAGTTTCTTAGCAACCACACAGGGCTCAAGCACATACAGAAACGGGGGGGGGGGGGGGGNGGGGGGGGGGGGGGGGGGGGGCAAAAAAAGAAAAATCACATCTACCTTCATTCCCTCTTCTAATACTTAGAACCAAGAGTACTGAACTTTGTTCTCTCAATCTAGGAATCACTCAAGACAGGGGTCCAGGTTAGATGCCATCCTAAAGGTCAGTGACCAAATTTGGTCAACAGTGGTGCCATCACTGCCGTCATCATTCTTGTCACTGTCAGAAACAACTGTCACCTTGCCACTACAAGGAAGGCAAAGCAACTGCAATATTCCCTCTGTCCATTCTATTTACTAACGGCCCAACATCATCTTCGTATGATCTTACAGCATGACATCAAATGGAGGAACCTAACAGAAAAGGCCTTGCAGTAAGAAACTGACTGGTACTAAAAACTGGTAAGACCCTGCGGTCAGGAGCCATTTCTCACTCCACTGGAAAAGCTGGACATCTATATTCTGAACAAAACACCTTCTAGCACTTTTTTTTATCTCTAACACTTCGGTTGGTTGTTTTTTGTTTTAAAACACGGAAACTCGAAGGCTATTTTTTTTTCTGGTGTATCAGTGAAATACTTTCAGCTTGTACGGGCAGATAAAATATTTTTTTAGTACTTACGAAAGATATACATGCTGCCAGCAATAAAATCCTAACTAGTAAGTCTTCAAACTGCTCAATGACAAGTTCCAGCAAGGTTTTTCCTGTTAAGGAAAAAAGTATTTGTTACAATTGTCCATATCAATCAATCCGTGACCGCACACAGACCGTCTCTCCAAAGTAACATTAAGATTTACCTTCTTCAGCCGGTAATTCTAGAATGCCGAAATTCGCCAGCCAACGTGTCAGGGGAGGAAAGAAAAAATACAGACATCTGATTAGCGCTTTTATAAAAACTGCTAGATACATCACCATCGTTGTGGGTCTATGAACATTTAACCTCTCTCTCTCTCCACTCTGATACCCCGAGAAAACTACACGGTCCCTGAAATCAAGGGCCACGGTCCTGCCCGTCAGCTCACTCGGGCCTCCAGGACCATGCAGCCGTTTCAGCTGGGTCATCACTTCTGCCAGATGTGTAACTTTGGGGAGTACAAGAAACGGTCGGAAGCTTTCTCAACTACATCGACGCCTCATAAATCCGCGGGGGACTCAGGCCAGCCGCAGGAGCGCCCCCCCCTTCCCCGCCCCGCTGCGCTCCGTCCGGGAAGGTCACCGGCTCGAGACCCCTGGAGGTCGGGAGAGGTCCGGACCCGCGTGCGGACAGCCCGGCCTCTCGCAGCCGTCGGGCGCCGAGCCGAGCCCCACGAGGTGGAGCCGGGTCAGCCATCTTCCTTGGCGCTCGGGCCCGCGCCGCCCGCTGCAGCGCCCCGCACCTACCGTTGGAGCCCCATCTCTCCTTGAGCTTCTTGACCTGCTCCAGGCTCAGCCCCGTGCTCTCGTTGACGCCAAAGTGGCCCAGCACCTCCTCCACCGTCTTTGTGTGAGCGTTCTCCATGACTGCGGGGGCCCCGGCCGGCCTCGCCTCGCGTCCCCGCGGCCTCCTCGCCTCCGCCTCGCACTCGGGCCGCGGGCTCGTGCCACCGCGGGCGCCCGGGCGCAGACAGCTGTCCCCTCCTCTTTCTCCTCCTCCGCGGCTGCGGCCGCTTCCGCCTGACCGGGCGCTGAATCACCCGAGCCCCCTCCCCCAGAAACCGCCGCACGCGGCCCGGCCTCGCCGAGCCCACCCGAGGGGCTGCGAACCTCCCGCCGCGCCGCGACTGTGCGTCGCCTCAGCTGCAAGCCGGCCGCGGGCAGCCCAGGCCGCGGCGAGGAGACCCGGTGCGGCTGAGGAGGGGCGCCCGGCCGAGCCCTCGGCGCGGAGGA